GGATGGCCATGCTGCAATCCCTTCTCCTCCACTCTCTTCTCGGGATTTTAGACACATATGCACATGTGCCCAATGTTACTTTCAAGCCTCCAGATCCAGGACTAGAACCGTGGTCAGCCATGTGGGAGTGTCCAGCACCCCAACCACCACGCCACCTGCTGGTCCCTCTGTTGATTAAAAATAAAGAAAACAACAAGGGCCAGCAGGTGGCCTGGTGGTTAAAGGTGGACTCCCATATGGCCGACCAAGGTTTGAGTCCCAGAACCAGTGGCTTGCTTTCTCATTTGCCCCAACCCCACTCCACCCAACCCCATCTCTCTCTGGTCAAATTTTAAAAATAATAATAAATAAAAAATAAATGATTTTTAAAGGAAAAAAAAATAGTAAAGAAAATGAAAAGTGTTATTTCTTATTACTAAAGGGCCAGTCAAGAATGCATATTGTATGAAGGAGATACATGCACGAGAGGGAGTTCTGTGGCACTGAACCATCCCTGGAGAGAGGGAAGGCAGGAGGTGCCAACCTGAGTTAAGCACCTACCACGTGGCAGGCACAGAGCATACATGATCTCGCAGCTGCCCTACGGATGGGTTCTACCTGCCAAGGGACAGGAAACCAACCTTCAGAGATGCAAGGAAACCACCAAGCCCTGTATGTATGAAAACCCAAATTGCAATCTACACATGCTCGACTGCACAAACCAGGCTCTCTTTCCTACCACACCACACTCAAACCTCTAGGTCAGGAAGTGCCCAGAGGGACACACCACTCTGTCCTGGCTCCCTAGGACACGCTGGAGTTAAGGACAATGTTCCTTAGAACCCCGGCTCTCTCAGACGGCTGCTGCCACCTCAATGCTGTGACTGTGCAGGTTCGCCATGTAATACTGGAACAGTGCGTACTACTTACATATACATGTACTTATCCAGCTTTGCTGCAAAATGACGTGGCATTTCTCCACAGCCGTAATAGTTGCGGTCATTTTCAGGTAGGTGATCCACATCATGGAAGATGACGCAGTCCCAGACGCTGTCTTTCATGGCCTCCTTGAAGCCCACATTGAAGAGCATTGCACGGTTAAAAGGCTGCGTGCCAGTCTTCCCAGAGCACACCCAGGGAGAAAACAGAAATGGACTTAGTAGGCTTTGCCATCTGACGTTTCCCTGTATTTTTCTAATTTGTTGAATCATGGTCAAATAATAACATTACACTGAAATAGACAAGTTATAAACATACTTCAAGACTTTCAAATGTACTTAGTATATTCATTTATACCTGGTAACAGAAGAAAACAACATTATTATTTAATCTACTTGGTACATTGTGAAATTTAAATAATAATGTTATTTATATTTCTGCTCTACTTTAAACACAAGATATAGGTTATGTATATCCAGGAAAGTAAAATAAAACCATTAAAAATAATATAGGTTTTATATTTTAGTAGCGCTTTCCATAGGCTGTTAGGACTAATAAAAGTAGGAAATAAATAGTGACTCCACAGTGACCCTTCTTTTACATAACAAAGCCAGGGGGTTCTCCCTTTACTTTACAGGGACCAAGAGGACTTTAGAGACAAAAACAACTGTAACTCATTTCACAAAACCCAGCTTGCTTTATTCCAAACATTTTCCTTTTTTACTAGGGAAAATACGTTAAAGTGTCACAAACGGTTTCTATTTCAATTATTCTTGCTTATGATAAAAGCCAAGAATATTTTAAGGAACCAAAAGGTAGGAAAACGTGACACAGAACACAGCTCCCTATGCTATAACTGTTTTCCTTTATTTACTAGTGAAACTATATTAAGATTCACTGACAACACGGAAGTTTCTTTTTGTGTCTGAAGAAAATGAATGAGCATTTGCCCACATCTTAGCAACATTTCCAAAATACAAAACAAAACAGATCATGAGAGAAAGAATGAGACACAGGATACCTAAGAATTCCGCCTAGAGAGTAAAATGGTGCTCATTTCCGTTCCGGATCTGGCACTAACCTGCCCTAACAGAAATCACTCTACTTTGTACAGCTTCTTTTTTTACCAGTGAAATAGGATTCAAAAAAAAAAGGGGGGGGGGAGTGAAGGTAAATTGTTATTGTTATTACTGGCATATCAACATTAGCTTTAACGAACTACTTTCTTTTAAGGTTTTAAAAATGGTTTTTATTAAATGTAAACCTAATACTTAAAGACTTACAATAAAAATAAGAAGTTCCCTGTCTACCTTCTTCATCCCCCAAGAGCAAAACATTTCAGCTCTTCTAGCTGTTTATTCTGGTACTTACACCTAGATATTCTGAGGGAGTGAGGGTTCTGATATTTCTTGCTTCATTAACTTTGAATACTGTCTACTCCCTTATTTTATTTTAGGTTTTTGCTTTAGGGCACATGCGCTCACCAGAGAGAGACAGAGAGGAAGGGAAAGCGACAAATCATTCTCCACCACTATCCCTTCTCCATTGTCCTCTTGGGATTTTGGTTATACACGCACATGTGCCTGGTGTGATTTTCAAGCCACAAGGTCCGGGACCTGAACTTCAGTCCACCATCTGGGAGTTCAGCACCTTAACCACTATGCCACTTGCTGGCCTCTGTCTACTGATTTCTTAACGTGGCAAAGAACAAGTTACACTACCACATCCAGTGCCCCGCCTCCATCTTTCCCAACACACTTAGAGCGTAATTTTTTATTAAGTCAGTAGTTTACATTGCTAAGTAAATATTTCTTCAGTGCTGAGTAAATTGATTTTGCTCTTTCTCAAGCTGGAACTAACTATAGTTTTTTTTTTAATATAATTATCACTACTTTGTTCAAAAAGCCTAACAGATGTGCCCCATACCTATTAATAATTGATGTAATCATCCAAATACATCAAATCCTCTATCCATCCCTTCTCCAGCTCCAGAGCCTACTCCCACTGCCCTCACCTCTTGTTCCAGTCCAGACTTTTGGCACTCAGCCCAGGTGTGACTGTCATCTAGGAATTTTCCTTCATTCCTACATCAACCATGTCTCTCAATTGACTTTCTCAACTTGCTGAGGCGCATTGTTCACTAGCTTCTTAAAATCCCGTGTCTGTGTGTGCACACATGTGTGTATGTGTGTCATACACCTTTAGTCAATGAATAATGGACAATGCCACTAATTTGCCCTCACACTTTATTGAGATTTCAATTACCTCAAAAAATTCTAGGTTGAAAACTACTTTTCCTGGGCCAGCCCATGGCCTGGTGGTTGAGATGGTTAGATCTCACACGTCAGACCACATGGCTCCTATCTTGAACCTCACATCTTGAAAAACACCTGGGGTACACGTGCATGTGTCCAAAATCCCAAGAAAAGGAAGAGACAGAGGAGAAGGAATTGTGGCATGACCATGACCCACGGGGACTGCGTTCTTGTTCCCTCCCTCGTTCCCTCTTGTCTCTCTCCAATCAGCACAAGTGCTCTCTGGTAAATTTTTTTTAAATATTACTTTTCCCTAGAATTTTAAAGGCATGGCTCAAGGTGTCAGTTCTGGTATATTTCTATTCATAATTATTTGTCATTTTTCTTATAGAACATTTTTACTCTCTTCTCTTTTTCATCTGTATTCTAAAAATTTCAAAATACTATGCTTCATAGTGGATCTATATATTATTCATATGTGCAGAGGGGCCCCTTTAATCTAAAGACTCCTGCCTTCACTTCTAGGGAAATTTCTTAAATTCCTTCTTCAGACATTTTCCTTCCTACCCTCCCATTCTTTTCTGCTACATTTTTTCCAGAACCCTAATTAATAATCATATTATCTATTGCTGTCTAACAAATCACAGCAAAATGAAGTGACTTTAAAAAGCAGTCGTAATGGTTTCCATGGATGAAGAATTCAGCAGAGGGGAAATGCCTCACCTTCGTCCATCAGGCCCAGGGCCTCCCCTGGCAGATGGAGGCAAGAGGGCTAAAAGAATCAGAGAGCTAGACTGGGGCAGAAGGGTCTACTTCTAAGGGGGCTCCTGGCATGACTGGCATGATGGTGCTGGCAAGCCGGTTCCACTCCACAGGACTGACCAAGCATCTAAGTGACATGGCAGACAGCTTCCCCAAGAACAAGTCATCCAAGAAACCAAGGCAGAAGCAGAGGTGTCTTTTATGACCTCACCTCCAGAGTCACATATGTCGTGCAATTCTCCAAGCAAGTCAGCCCATCTTCATTGTGAACGAGGCTACACAGGGTCCTGATGATAAGGAGGCAAAGACCTTGAGGTGCATCTTGGAGAACAGTTACCCCCGGGACATATTGGTACCCTTAGACTGATCCATAGTTTCTCGTGTTTTGGTTCTATTTTAGAGGTTATTTAAAAGTTCTCTTCCAGTCATTCAACCAAAAGTTTGGTTTTGGTTATATTTCCATTTTCAATAACGTTTATTCTAACTGTTCCTTATGATGAACTGTATTTGTTTCACACACTGTAGTCTCTCACTTTCTATGTATTCTGATTATGATTATAATATTTTTCTTTCTTACTTTCTTTTTAAAGCTTTTCTGTTTCCTCCTGTCTTTTTCTTTCTTTCTTTTTTTTTTTTTTTTTTACATTTTGCTAAAGGACATATGTGCTCACAGAGAGAGAGAAAAAGAGAGAGAAAGAGCAAGTACCCCTAATGGGCTTTCACACTGCAATCCCGTCTCCATTTCTCCACCCTGTTGGGATTTTTGAGCATGCATGAAATACTCCCAGTGTATTTTTCAGGCCACCAAGGGTAACAGTCAAACTATATAGTCCGTCATGTGGGATATATCTCCTTTAACCATCAGGCCACAAGGCTGGCCCCCGTGTCGCATTTTTGCTGGGTTTTGTCTCTTCTTGCTAAGATTTTCTTCAAATTCTAAGGATTCTTGGCTGTTCATTCATATTTGAAAATAAGGCACTAAAAAGCTGAAAGGCATCTACATATATCTATGTAAAAATTGTTGCAAACCACTCTTTTCTTATTTTTATTATTCTTATTTTTAACATTCAATCCCTATACATCATTAGAGCTGTAAAGAGAATTTACCGATCATGAAACACATCTCAGACCAGTCCAGTTGAGAATACGATACATGTTATGATCAACAGGTGATAAACCATGTCTGTGTCCCACAAATACCTTGCCTATTTTTTCTCCCTGATTTCCTTCCCTATACTCTTCCCCTCTCCCACCATCCCTCTACACGGTCTCCAATGTCCATATCTATTTTCACTGCTTTTATGCCCTCCAATCTTTCAGGCTCTACTATAGATTGCAGAGTCGGCAAACCACTCTCAACTATACCTCCCAGCACAGTGTATATCCACACACACGCGCGTGCACACACACACACCCCTCAACCAAACTTAAGCAACAAAAGGCACATTTCTTTCCCTCCAGTATGCCATACATCTGCACTTCAGAAAATGGCAATGCTCTTCCTTCTTTAGACAAAAATCCTGGCACCATGTCTAACTGTTCTCCATCACTGACACTGCATAGTCAGTCCATCAGCACTTAATACCTAGCACTGCCCAGCCCCCAGCCCCCAGCCCCAGATCCTCTGCCACAACCACAGTGGCCCAAGTCATCATCTCCCACCTGGACAACTGCGAAAGCCTTGTAACTTGTAACTGCTTTCCTTATTTCAGCCTGTCCCGCTGCAGCTTACCTTCCACACAGCAGCCAGAGTCCTTCTCTTAAGCATAGTTAGATCACGTCACTCCTCTACCTAAGAACATCCAGAGTCACCTATTTTTTTTTTTGAGAGATTTTTGGTATATGTACTTGACAGAGAGACAGAAAGTGAGAAATCATCACCCAAGGAGGATGACCATGCTGCAGGTCCTTCTCCTCCATTCTCCTCTTGGGATCTTGGACATAACACGCATACGCGCCCTGGTGAATTTAAGCTGCTGGGTCCAGGACTCAAACTGTGGTCAACTACGTGGGAGTCCAGCACTGTAACCATTGCGCCATCTCCTGGCCCCCATCCAGAATCTTCTGACCACACATAGGGTCCCCCAAGTTTTCATCTTGTCTTGCCCTTCATTATTTGCTCCTCATTCCACTTGTCTAATTTCCTCCCCGTTCCTCCCCGG